TTTCTACTTATTATTTGATAAAATTTGAAATACTTTGGTAATAAGTATTCTAAATATTTATCTCTTGTTTTTTCTTTAAAATTAATATAAAATCTTAAAGCATTACATCAGATATATTTTTAACTAATTCAAATTCTCCTTGACTGCTGAAAATTTCTTGGACTCCCAATTTGTTTAGCAGAGGATATATTTAAACAAAAATATCTTTCAATGATATTTTTACATCACTGCTTATGAAGTTTATTTTGCTATCAACAACTTAAAATATTTTGCTTAATAGCTCTGAAGATTAAATTTATTAGTTATAAATTTAATCGTTCTACAACTTTATCAAATGGTCAATATATTCATTAATTTCTTCAACTTTTTAATTATTTAATTCTTAAAATCGAATAGGCTATTTATTTTACTAAAACATATTCTCAAAAGATATTTAATTAAATATTGCATCTAAATTTTCGAGATTTACTCTCAATTGTTCCAAAAATTCCTATGAACAAAAATTAGATTTATTAGAAACTAATTCAATTATTTGTTAAGTGCTACTAAGTTTTTGATTATTAAGAGGATTGATATTGCTTTAATTAAATTAATTGGAATCGTTTGGAAAGAAATTAATTGAATCTATTAAAGTATAGATTGATTGTTTAATAGTCATAGATTTTTAAATATTAATTAATTAATTTTTTCTCTGGCACTATTCAAGTAGATTTTGAAGTTGCTGAGTATTTTCTTCTTTTTTGGATTCAATTTCAGATAAAAAAGCTCTGCATTTTATTTCTTAATTTTCAAATTAATCTTAATAGCTGCCTAGTATTTATTTTAAAGTTTCTATTTGTGAAATTTCTTTGTACTTGTTGAGGATTTATTCTTTTCCTAAAGGTAGATTGAGTGCCTAATTGATCATTTTCTTTTAGCAGAAGTCGATTTTCTTAATAATTTCAACTTTTAACTCTTCAAAAAAATTGTTAATTTATTGAATAGGTGAAATTGAAAAATTATCATTTGATATTTCTTTGCTTAATTTTTATAGTATTGAGT